GAGAAAAGAGAGAGAGAGAGATAGAGAGAGAGAGAGAGAGAAAGAGAGAGAGAGAGGGAGAGAGAGAGAGAGAGAGAGGGGGGGGGAGGGAGAGAGGGGACAGAGACACAGAGAGAGAGAGAGAGAGAGAGAGAGAGAGAGAGAGAGAGAGAGAGAGAGAGAGAGAGAGAGAGAGAGAGAGAGAGAGAACGGAAATATTTTTCTATCTGTATAGAATTAATGTTTTAATGAATGTTTCTAGTTACTCACGTTTCAACTTTATTTTGACAGTTCGTGAATTTTTATTGCATTGTATATTTTTAGTGAACACATTTTCAACCTCACTGCGAGACTGTTTTTCTCGTATAAAATTTTACACATATGCACTTATATTATATGTATAATACTTTGTTTTACGTACACACTTGTCGATTAATTTTTAAGATGTGATGTCTTTTTCATTGTAATGCACATTGAGCATCTTTTAGGAAATGGAAATGCGCAGTATAAATGCTATCTGTTATTATTATTATACAACTTCTTCCCCATCCCACACAGCAAACCATTACGCGGATGTACTAAAAGCTCAAAGTCTTGAGATTTATTTTGCGTTAGAATGGTTAATTTCAGTGCCTTAGTTTTTGTTCTAGACAAGTGTTTGTAGAGTACCCAATTTGTCCTATTTTAGTTACAAACGTATGAAAAAAATGATTGTTAATTTTAAAAAGGCACGACAGATCTCTCCAAAATCTGTGTTAAACTGACTACGAATATCATGTCTTTTACCATGAGAAATCTTAAATCTGCGCGAGTAGAAATAGTCAAGTTATAAGAGAAGAAAGATGCACATCTGCATTTTTTAACTAAAGACGATCAGCGTTAGCTTTTATTTCACTATTAAACAAGAGAAAGTTACTCTGCGTTTGTTCATGAATCATGCTGTGTCTGTGGCAGCCTGCATACAACTAAAAAGATATAATATAGAATCTAAGCGATAAAAAAAACCCCACAAAACCGTGTAAATACATGGGTAGAGATAAACTTCTTGTATGGAATAAAAATATTGACAGCTAACACATTCATTCTTAGTTTTTGTGTCGGAAATATGCGCGGACACAATATGTAAAGAAATCAGTCACATTGTCAGTTATTGCAAATGGTCATAGAAACGAAAAATAAAGCTGGAAAAGTCAGGTGCTGATTCAGTGTACCTGGAAAGCTAGAAATTATTCTTATAAGCCAATTACGAGAAGTCGTCCCTATTATTCAGCCAACTTACAAAACCTAGACTTAGCATTTTAAGAAAAGTAAGGAATTTCCGGAGTGTAACAGATGCTGTTCGTGTATTAGATCTACATTGAAGGTGTATTCTAGCACTAAAATCGATTTGTACTTTTCATAGAGAAACTTAATGGTGACTTTTATAAACTTTCGAGAAAATATGCGAATATTCACGATTATATTAGACACATAAAGTTGTATTTGGAGGAATTACTTCATTGCGAATTGTGTGCCCGATGGATAAAGTTGCAAAATTACAGCTTTCTATTATATGCACAGATACCATCTATTCTGAGTATCTGCACCAATGCTATGTCGTTCATGTTCCAAAAGTTCGACAGATTTTGACGAGGCCTTTTTTTTTATATTGATTTTTTTCATTCACGCTGGTCAAAAAAAATTACAATTTAGCATTGCCGACTCCAGCGCGTCTAACGAAATAACCAGACAAGTTACAAGGTCCGTTCTTTTTCGAGTCTCAAGAGCAGAAATGCATGCTTTGGATGCACTAAATGAGAATTACCATAAAAACAAGGATACACCTTAAATTGTACGTTGAAAAGTACCAAAAATTAAGTCGGCCCAGACAGAGCGGCGACAGGGAGCTGACCCCCGTGACCCCGACGTGATAAGGCGCCCGGCGGGGAACCCCCCGCGGCAACTAAAATTCCACTGCCGGTGCGCCGTGAAGGCACTCTGACGGGTATCCGTTACAGTGGCGAGGTTGTCCGCCCCATTGCAATTCCAGGCTCTTTGGGCAATGGACCAGGGCGCGATACTCCAGGACGACAACGCCAGACCTCACCGCACTCGAGTGGTGGATGACTTCCTGCAGCAGCACCACGTGATCCGGCTTGACTGGCCAGCCCGATCACCGGACCTTAGTCCCATTGAACACTTGGGCGCCGAGTAAGAAACCATAAGCCACACCGAAACAATGTGGATGAACTCTTTAACATTTTTGACCAAGAAAGCCAAGCCATTATAATAATAATAATAATAAATAGCATTTGTATAGCGCATATCCCCGCTCAACAGCAGGCTCTATGCGCTTTACACTATATTATTACCCCAGCAGACCATAGAACATTCCGAAACATTCTCAGCTTCCCGGGAAGCATACAGTGCAAGCAGCTGATTAAGCGCTCAAACACTAACAAACTGACAAGATCTTTCGCTGTCTATAGCCGGGTACCCATTCCCACCTGGGTGAAGTGAGGAAAATTCGTGTAAAGTGCCTTTCCCAAGGACACAACGTCGGGTCCCTGACGGGATTCGAACCCACGACCTTACGGTTGCGAGTCCGAGAGCCTAACCACTAGGCCACCGACGCCACAACTGACATTGTGAACACTTATTCCGTCCATGAGACAAAGATGCGATGACTGTTTTCTTACAAATGGTGACCACATGCGATTTAGAGCCCTAATTGTTTATGACAGTTGGGATGTGAATTTTAAAAACATGGGTTACCTCCTTCAACATCTGAAATTACACATTTTCCCTAACAAAATGTGCAAAATGTCGTTTGCAAAAGGTGAACTGATGAATAAAGACCCCTCTCAAACAATTTTGAACCGTGTCATGTTCTTCAGTTTTATGTACCATGTGTGACTTTAAGTGGTCCTTAACTTTGTTGAGAAGTATAACATATCAAATGGAGATTTGAGGAAACTTCCTGCAGTGTGCGCTGTGTATAGGGAGTCACTTGTGGGGAGGTCGTGCGTTCACTTGAGTCGCGGGAAGCCTTGGGGGGGGGGGGCAGACATATGTCTGGCTGGCTCTCAGAAATGTATTTCAGTACAAACACGCGCACAAACACTCACACGCACACACACACACATACACACACACAAACACACACACACACAAACACACACACATGCTCACAAATGTGTCATATGTCTATGTTTTTGAATGAACACTTGTTGAAAACGCTCGTGTCATCTTTCATGTTTTCACGCATCGATTATTGCACTGCTTTACTAGCTAACTTACCAAATACCACTCTTCAAAAGTTACAACGTTTTCAGAATCATGCTGCTAGGCTTGCATTAAAGAAAAAGAAGAGGGATCACATTACTCTCCTGTTAAGAACGTTGCATTGGCTTCCCGTGTCAGATAGAATGTCGTATTAAATTGCAATATTATGTCATAAATGTGTCAATAACAAAGCTCCCTCATATCTTAGTGATCTCATCCAGATTTTATGTTCCATCTAGATCCCCAAGATCAGGCGATCGGTATCTTTTAAGAGTTCCTAGAAAAGAGGGTAAAAATTAGCTGAAAGATCGTTTGCCCACCTTGCTCCTTAAGTTTGGAACTCTCTTCCCCAACCCTTGAGACATACAACATCTGAGTCTAAATTTTAAAAATCTTTAAAGACACATTTAAT